CAGTTATTGGATGTGATGCACCATTTCGATCTGCATGCTCACATTGATCGTTAACCGGTACTGTACGCACCACGGTGACGTGATGATAACGTTGGCATGTCTCCTTAATGCGCACACTGCATCTTTTTAATGAGACTATAGATGCCTGATTGCTCCAATTTATTAGCAAAATTGCTGCTAAATTTCTGTTAGGATTTTGTGAAGTTGTCATTATTTCATCGCTGGATTAGAATTATTGTTGTAATGCAAACTCATATTTCAAATCAATTGTGTTGTGAATCTTTCGGTAATGTCGATACAGCTCAAGGACAAGGTGCCGGTGTTGGCAGGTTGCCAGGAGTATACAGTACTATCACCTGACCACCGTTATTACAGCCACATACCTTCATAGAGGGCAGTGCCAATAGTGATAGTTCTACAATTAAGAAATTTGTACATGTACATGCATTTATCACTTGATTGTTCTGAATATGAACTTTCACCTTTTGGGTTTCTTTTTTTAAACCTGTACAGTAGTTAATAAAAATAGTCTGACCATCATTAGCAAAATAGATATGAGGATGAACAGGGATGACTTTTGGTAATGATGGCATAAAATGCATTTCCTCCAAAAACTTCATTTATTTGAAAATTTACAATATTAAAAAAAAGAATTTTATGATACAAATTACAATAAATCTTTGGTTTATGCACAGTATAGAAATTTGCTTACCACTGTCATAGAACTACAGTAGTTTAATGATAAACAAACTCACTAAACAAATATGAATGGATTTTTGAACAAAAGATTATCTGAGGTGAGAGCATGTTTGGTGCAAGAGGCACAGAGTCGAATACCAGGTTTGTTGGGAATATAAAAGTTACAAAGAGGAAATTAATGCTTCAGGTCTTCACTTGCATTTCAACACATCCATTATAGGGGTCAGCAATTTTCTATTAAGAAGCAGTCGTTGATCCCCCTTCTCCAGTTTTTGAAATTCATACTTTACATCCACTCAAGTTCCCAACTGTTAGTGATTAGTGTAATAGCATTAAGTGCATTAATGCTGCTAAGTGCATTAAGGATGGCTTTTTGAGGTCAGTAAGAACATCATATCAATGTTCTATAAATCTGTTTTGAAAGCATGTTAAAACATTCCATTGTTGTTTGGTAAGTAATGCTGAGGGTTTAAGATTATGAATGGATGTATCATTAAGTGCACCCACGCATTATCAGTGTCATATGTCAATCAAACTGTATTGAAATCATATTTAATGCCAGGATGATTTTTTTTAAATTGATTATGTTATAGGTGATGCTAAACATCATGATAAATGTATTCTCATTGAGTTCTTAATCAGTGTTACCATTTAGTTATGCTTTACAATTTATCTGTATCTGTATTAGTTACTCCAGCAAAATGGAAAGTTACGCATCCTACTAGAGTTGAGTGCTCAAGACTAGATGAATTATGTTGAGGGTACATTGTATATGAAGTTTGCAGCTGCAATCTTGAATTGGTTTTAAGTTCAGGAAGGCTGATGATTGAGGGTGGTAAGCTGTTCCAGGTTGGGATTGTGGTGATGAAAAAACTTGTGTTGTACATTTTAGTCTTAGCATGAAGTCTGTGATAAGAGAATTGGAGATCATCGGTGCCTTCTAGATTATGTACCAAAATAACTCTTTTCCAGCTGCCGTAGCAGCTGTATGGGTGCAGCTGACCACATGCATGTGAAGTGTCCTAAGTGTGTGTCAATAAAGAGCTTATAAAGTCTTATAACAATTTCTCCAATTATCTCCATTTTTATATTTTGTTGCAACCTTCTGCTTCAGACTTTGTTCCCACCTTTTATGTAAGTGGAGTCGATGGTGCGGTTTGCCACACCCTTCATATATTCATTTCTACTGGATTCTCGTCTGTCAACCCCGCTGCTTTATGACCATGACACATTCACTCCATCTCCATTTTGGCCTCCTTTTCTATATACATATATGTCAAATATAGAAAGAGCTTCAAACATTTTTAATGTGAAAAAAATACAGTTAAGAACAAAAATATTAAATTGAACCGGTACAGAGTGATAATAGCAAGGGTGTTCCCCAAGCATTCTCTACCACTGGTATATTCTGTGAGGCCTACACTAACTGTAAATTGAGTATTGAGCATCCAATGATTAGCAAGCAGCACCAAACTGTTTATGAGCCTGCATATACCGTATGAGTGTTCAACCACTGTATTTTTATGCTTTACAATAAAGTCAAATAAAGACTGCTATTTGCAAGGGATAACAATGCCATATGCCGCTAGTCCGTATTGATTAGTTCTCAGTTCCTTGCTTAGCCACTGTACGACCAGTCATATTTTTCAGCCATTTGCTCATTAACATTAAGCATTATGCTTGACTGATTTATTTAATTTGCATGCGGAATAATAACCATACACAGGCCAAGAGAGGTATTGTGAAAATGTTATTGGAAATGGATCACACTTGTCAAGATTATGTTGATAACTGGAAATGTTACACTCATGTTGATTCTAAACAATGATATGGCAAATAATAAATATGATAATTTAAGATATATTTTTATTGTCTTTTTTTTTGTATATGTTTAAAATATGATTCTGTAATCCTCCACAGTATGTAGTGAAGAAATTTGTACCTGTATAGTCCCTAATTTATTGGAACTCTATTCAAAGGAAAAATAGATGTGTCCACTAATTTTACTGTACCCTAACTTTCCTTTTATTCATTTTAAATCCAAATGTTTACTTATAATCCAGAAGTTACCACTTTTGTTTTTGGCTTTAGTCCATGCTATTCTTTTATCATATTATTTAGTGTTGAATTTGAATATATAAAATATATTGCATTATATATTCAAGGAAAAATATAGTAGGTTTGCAAAAAACATATACTATAGAAACAACTCAATTTGTCCTACATACGTATCCATTTTTAAAAATATAATTTTAAAATATTGTTATGCATCAACATTTGCATTTAAAAAAGTAACTATAAGAAACAACCATAAATCGGTATTTACAAAGGTTTGATAGCAAAAAAAAACAACATAATAATTTAAGTGTTTAAATTAAATTTCAGATTTATAGCATTTTATACGATATGGCATCCATTTTAATTCCATTCAGAATATGATTTAGTATCGCTCTTTTCTAGATCTATTGATAATTGTTTCACAATCAATCATATTAAGAATGATGGCTGCTTAATGGAAATAATAGAGAGGTTATAGTATGCCCTCTGGAAATGTGGGCGGGAGAGTTTAAAAGGAGGGGTAGCTTGTTGAACACTATGTAGCATATTCCATGGAAATGGGGGAGGGAGAGGGGCTCATGAAGTGTTTTGAATTTATTTTGTTGGGTTTTGGTTTTTTTTTTTTTTTCTTTTTATTTAGGATATGTTGGGATTTTTCCTGTTCGCAATCAACTTAAAAATATTAGCTCAAGTTTTAGCCATTTAGTTGTATGTGTTTAATGTTATATATTAATTAAAATTTATTATTTTTAAGTAAAAATTGTTTTACTTAATTTATAATTAATAAACAATTTTAGTATTCATATATTAATACAGTAATAACAATAATTGATTTCTTGTATTTATCTAGTATATCAACAATATCCCACAATAAACAGCTTTAATATACACTGGTCTCCCTCTAATTAATGATTCCTCCAATTATAAAGGCCACCTCCAATTAAAGACCACTTTTTTGTGTAATATGTATGTTGTGTAATATGTTCTGGGAAGAGAATTGGAAATATAGTTTACTGTCGATTAATTCTGTCATACTGGCAAGACCGCCCCTCCCCACACCACCATTCTTTATTATTATTTAAATATCATTGTCACTGATCACCTGTGTAAATATACATTATATAATGGAATTTATTAAATGAACAAGTACGATTACTGGTTTGAAAAAAGTTGTGTTTGACCAGACTTCAAGATTGTAAATTGGATCAATAGCAATTAAAATCCCAGATCTTAACCCAAAAGTCTGCCTCAGGTTTGCTGCTGTAGTGCAGTTTCTGGCAGTTAACGCAGGCCAGGATTTTCCAAAGTATAATTTCATGGATAATAAGTCAGCATGTAATCTGACTCTGAAGTGGCTTTTATTGTTGAGCAAAAAAAAATGTTGAAAATGTATTCTATGAAAAATGCCAAAGAAATATCAAAAATCACTTTTGAATAACTCTTTGAAGTAACTTAAACACTGTAAACTTAAGCATAGAAATTAGTGTATTTAAAAAAAAGTTTGCCCATAATTTTACAGCAAAAAAATGATAGAAACACTCCAATTGACTGGGGTCAATGAAGTGTAGAGAGTTTTTAGTAATTTTATCATTATCCAGTATAAAAATCAGAGTACACATTTTTTTTAATTTTATAATTTGTAGGTTACTACAAATGAGAATGTTAATTTAAAAAATTATTGTTCATGATTTTTTTGTCATTTTCAGGGGATAATACATGCTTTAATTTATGAATTGTATTTCTCCTCATAAAATATAAACTGTAGTAAAATATCTGTCATTCAGCAACAACTGAATTGTTTTCAAAAACTATACAAATCTTTATTTAAACCCTCCAGTGAAAGAATTTTAAGGAAATAAAAAATTATAAAATACAGTAAATAAATAAATTTTAAAAATAAATGAATAAATAATAGGAAAAACTAATTAGTTATTTTTAGTTTGATACTGCATATCATATGCAAGAAGAAAATGAAATTGTAAAAGAGAATTTGGATCTTGATAATACCCGCTGCTAATTGGGGATCGGATTCAACACTAGTGCAAGCTCAGTGGTCTAGTGGTTATGACACCAGGCTAGTGGAGGTCATGGATTTGATATCCACCCAATTATTTGAGAACGGATACTGAGTATTCGGTATGGATGTGGCAAAAACATCACTCTATGAAAATCTTTCTTGACATAAACACATCAAAATAGCATAATTATAATTACTTTATATAAATCAATATTTTTTATTTCAGTCGGTTGGTGGAAAGGTTGGATAATATGAAGAAGAATGCGTTGGGTAACGGTACCACTCAGTGCATTCTATGCGGTGATGAGTTTGGTTTACTAGGAGCCTCCCCACTCACTTGCTTTGATTGTAAACGGGTAAGAAACAATTTAAACATTTCATTAAAGCGACATATTCCCATTTATATAATAATATATGACACAGTGTTTTATAATTCTGTATAATTTCTAAAGTTGTGTCCATACTATCAAATTTTATGTGACAAAAACCTGTGATATGTCCACGGCAAGTTGGATGGCCGAGCGGTTAAGGCAGGGGCACCGCAACGTACAGATATAATATCGGCACTGGTTCGAAAGGTACGCTTGCCTGGTGTTGGAACAAGTGTTTTCGGATGAGGACTAAACCGTAGGCCCAGTGTACATAATTGGGCTCATGTGCATTTTTAAAAACCCAATACATCTTTTGAGACGATTAGTCGGGTTACCCCGGTGTACTAGTCCATTTAGCCCCTGCTGTGGACAGACAAGAGTAGCTGGTACCGGTTTACCGGGTAGCTCAGACACAAAGAGACCCTTAGAGGAGAAGCAAGTTACAGTAAGAGCCAGTCACCTTTACCACTTTGAACCCGTTTCAATGTAAAGTACTATGTAAATCTAATTACATCGAGAACAGCTTAGCTCAGTCGGCTAATCTGGTGGTAGCCACTGTGTATGCGCTGAACCGTAGAGATCTCTAGGTTCCCGGTTCAATTCCCATCGCTGCCTCTCCTTGTGTTTCAACTGGAGGACTAAAATACACTGTTACAATAGTGCACTGTCATTTGGATGAGATGTCTAAGCCGTTGGTCCCGTGTGCATTTATGGTGCACCTGCACGTAAGAACACACTCTTCTGAAAAGAGTTGGGGATTGTCTCCCGGTGTACTGCCCAACCACCACCAGAAGAACCCCAATGGAAGTAAGTCTTCTTCTAAACTTTCATGGGCTATCCTTGGTGTTTACACCGAATAAATCAAATCCATATATTGCATGTATAATATGACATCATGCCCATAGGCACATCACATTATTTTGTCACATAAAACTTTGATAGAATGGACAGAGCTTACCCTAAAATTTGGCAAACTTCGGCCTGAAGCAAGAAGGCTGTTTGTTTTTAAAATGCAAACCTAATAACGATTATGTTTGGATATTTATAGATTGGTTAATCTAGAATCAATCTTTTCCTGCGTGGCAGCCGTTTTTTGTAGTAATCTCCCGCCCACAATTTGACACTCAAAAGTTGACAAATAGAATCTGCATCTTAAATGTAACACTCTTGAACTATAAGAATTGATTACATTGTATATTTATACTGGAACAAATTTATGGATCAATTAAAACAAAAAGTAAGCAGTGTTTATGGGAATATATATTTGTTGTACCACAAACAAAATGTATTCAAATTTCTGGGGTTTTTTTTTAGACCAACAAACATAATATTTTTAGATTACACCTTGCATGATCAACTCTGTAACCATCCTTATCACCATCACCTCATCTATTATCATCATCATCATCATCACCACCTTCAACATCATCATCACCATCAACACCATCATTACCATCCTCATCGTCACTACTATCATCATCAACAACACCAACATCATAATCATCATCATCAACACCATCACTATTCTCATCATCATTGTCGTCGTCATCATCATCATCTTCACTATTTATCATTATTTAAGTCTATTTTGTTAGTTACTAATGAATACTAAATATCAAATTGACTCTGATAAGGGAGACAAATTTTATACTTTGTTTCACAAACTTATTTTTGTTGAGGTCATCAGAGGTGGACTGGAAAATAATGGGATGATAAATGCTTCAAGTTATATAATTAGAAAGAAATATAATCGTCAAATGTGGGCGGAAAAAAATGGGATAGTTAAATGCTTTAAAGCTATGTAATTAGAAAGAAATATACATATCTAATATTTTTGGAGATTTCAGGGCAGCGGTGGGCATAATAAAAATAAAGAAAAACTTTTATTTTTTTCTGAAATTTCCATTTTTTCGTGGTGGTAGGTGTACTGATTGGCCAAAAATAAAATTTTATTTTCATTCAAAATCATTATTAGTGGGTGGCAGACTTGCTAAACAAGGTATAAAAAAAATGTCTCGTCTAAATACCCCCTCCATTTTGACCATACAGTTGATGGTGTCTGTGGACCAAAATTTTAATTCAAAAATGTTAATTTATACTGCAAGAATTGTAAATTATATTACTGTAAAATTATGTAAATGCTAAGTGTAACAGGCCATAAAATTAGTTGGCTAAAAATATCAGGTTTTGCCATTTACTAAGAGTGGTTTACTTCAACATTTATGATCTGGGGCATTCTGAGGGGTTTTCTAAACCTAATGTAGGGATTGTTGACTTGGGTCTTATGGGTTGTATCAACCTATCTCATAATGGTGGAATTAGAAGTATATTGCATCAGGAGTATTTAAAAATAATGTTCTGGTTCATGATCTTTCTATATTTTATTTTGTTTAAAGATATTGACATCCCAAAAATCAAGAAAAAAATAATATATAATTTTTAATTGCTTATCCGAATCAAATTTATCACTATTCGGTAAGTCACATATTGGAAAAAAAAAACCACTTTTTAAACGATTTTTAGACATTCAATTTGTATTTGTACAGTATAATACAAAGACTGTAGGAATTGTATTATTTAAACATTAGTTAATTTTTAGCAAAACTTTTTTCTGATACTTAAATTAAAAACACTGGTGGCACTAACTAGGCTAACTTCAATTATTTATTAACTGAAAGCTACCGGAATAACTTAAAATATATAAAGTCTATTTAATTTTATTTTGAATTTTTAACCTTATTAGATTTCATGGCAGTCAATTTTGAATATGAACTCTTGATATTATTACTTAATATTTTATTAAACACTGATGATAATGCTGTAAAATAATTTATTCACAAATGCTCAAATAATAACAATGATAATTAATGATTTTTATTGTTATAATGAAGATTTAGTGAATTGTGTATGTAAACCTATGCTGATTATGATCTAATTTGATTTCTTCAATTGCATACAGTACATGAATAATATATATGGTAAGATAAAACAAAAATGTCCATTCTCGTCAGTTTAAAAGTCGTTTTCCTTGCATGATGATTACAGTGAATTGGCTAGGCTTTGATACAGGTACATAGCATTACCTCCATTGATTTATAATGAAGCACTTTTATACAGGTTTACCAATGGTGTATAAAATACATGACATTTGCTGTTTTTTACAGGGGTTGTTGAGGTATTGGTGTTATTTGGTTATTTTTATTCTGCTTTTTAATATTTTTTTTATGGTTGGTTCTTTTGATGTTAATTTAGGTTTTATGTTTGGTCATCATTATTATTATAATGATTATTATAATTATTATTAATATCTCACAGCAGTTGGTAACGGTAAGAATATTTTACCAAGATTTTTTTATAGGTGGTTTTTTTTTTAAAGTTATTTATTGATTGTATTTTCATTCTTTGAATTGCTGCAGAAAGTTAATTTGACATCTGACACAAGTAAAATTGTTATTTATATTTAACCCCTGTTTTTATTGGCAAAGCTATGATTTTAATGGCTTGAGAATTAAATGCTTTCACATTATAGAATCCATGCTATTATATCAGGGATGGTTTATTTACGGTATAGCATCACAGAAACTAGAGTCCATGCACAGGTAGCATTCATACATTTATTGCATCATGGATGATATGTACTATAGCATTTATAGTATATGCTATAGTATATTTATTATGCAATCACATAGATAGCTATCTCAGGATAGTTAGCAAACCTCTCAAATGTATTTACCAATGCTTTTAATTTTTAAAGGGTTATCAGCATTTCTTATTTTGTATTCAGATTGCTTATTTTAAGCACATTGAGACAATCTGATATTTATAAAACACTAAATAAATTCATCATATATACTACTATTGTCATTCTAACTTTTTATTTTTGTACTTTTTTAATTTGGTGAAAATTTAAAGCATGTAAACTGAAGAAGAAATATTATGTAATCGTAATGTTTTAAATTAATTTAGTTTACCTCATTTTTTCTCCCTTTTTAGTCTGTGTGTACAAAATGCGGTGTAGATACTCTCAACTGCCAGAAGCAGCCTATACTACTCTGCAAGATATGCAGTGAAAACAGAGAGGTAACAGAGCACTGATTTGTGATATTGTGGTTAACAGTGTTCTTAAGCCAGGCACCCACCGCACCAGACAGTCGTCGGCCGACGCGATTCTATAGAGAACGCTACAATGCGCGTACAATTGATTGATTTTAGTTCAGACTACCACAGACAATCAGTAGACAACGTTGTGTCTTCTAGAGCTCACATGGAGCAGGTTTGGATTCGTAGGCCGACGCTCTTATGGCTGTCATACGACGCAGTTAATGCCCAGATAGTGTTTTAGTTGGGTGCTACTTATTGGTTAAGGCGTGGGTGTGACTTATGAGAAAGTTGGAGGTGACTTAATAGTAGTTAAGATGGTTTACTTTCTCATCATTCCAGTGACAACCTGTTTTGATAGGCAATATATAAAACTGTTATCATTATATTATTGATTTTTATTGTTTATTGTGGTTATTTTTTTTTTTTTTTTTATTGTGTTTTCTTTTGTTATGAAGCTGTGGAAGAAGTCTGGTGCCTGGTTCTTCAAAGCAATTCCCAAGTATGTGATCCCTGAAAAACGGCCTGAGACTGACAAGTACCAAGCCATGGTTCCTGGTAGAATGCCTGCCTCTTCTCGTACCAGGCAGCAGCGGGGTTCAGGAAGGACACGTCGTAAGTGCCATTTATTATTAAGGCCAAAAAAAATATATACTTCTTTACCGTCAGCACCGCCCAACCCTGATTTTCTAGCCGCCTCTCATTTTTTTTTTTCTTTTTTTTTTTTAAGTCTTGAAAATTGACTAAAAAATGCCGATAATAGAGGAAAAAAGATCGTTTTTTTCATCTTCAGCACAGGGAACAAGATGTGAAGTGCGCAACCAACATTACAAGTGTTTTTTTTTTGCAAGGAAAAAAATAGATTCCCTCACATGTCTTGTTGACAGAAATCACGGACGATTTGATCAGTAGTGTAGTAGGCGTACATGTTTTTGTTTAGTTCTTTTTAGATAATAAACTATGTTTTAAATATGATAATAATAAAGTACTATGAAGAAAAATAATAGGTTACGACCTATGCTTTAATTGGCAAATGTTTTAGGCCTAGCCTAAGTACTGCCTAACTAGGCCTAGGCCTAGACCCCTAGTATGGCTAGGCCTACCTGGCCTAGCCTAGCACTGCAGCAGTTGGCCTATGGAACCACAATGCCTATTAAAATAAATATTGTATAAACAAATCTTTTGTGTAAAATTTAGTGTCTATTAATAGCCTTTGTCAAAGATTTGGCTTGGCACCAATGCAGTTTTTGAAATTTCTAGGCCTAAGAAGCCTACACAGTAGAGCTTAGGCTAGGCATGGGCCAGCAAAAAATGTTGTGGTATAATGAAAATATTGAACGCTTTCTAAGCTCACTTGATAATTGGAAGCCTGTAACTAATCTAAGGTAATTAAAGATAAAGCTTGATAATGCATTCCGTGCAAATATGGATCGCCATCAACTCTGTTGATTGCAAATTCTATCACCTGATGAGCTTGAACCATGAGAAATGGGATATACGACACGGTGCACATACATTAATCTGACCCACAAGTACCTTTCGTAATTTTGTTACTCCAATGATTCACAAGCATGAGTGGACCCTTTCTGAATATTTGTATCTAATTGTGCTCTGTGGAACACATCAATGATTTAATGGGAGATGCTATTAGTGTTTAAAATATTAATATATATTATAATAATGAGAGAGGCACGCCAACCATGGAAGACATCCTTTGGGACCATCAGTACTTAATCACTAAGTTTATGAGGCATGGTGAATGAAGTTTTTTTTCTTTTTAGGAAAATTACTTTCCTGTATTCTTAACAATGTGTACATATGATTCACATATTGTAATATTTTGGTTTTTTTTCCTTGTATTCTCAGCCATCTACCACAGTGAAAGCGAGTCAGAATCATCTAGTAGTTCTGACGATGATGTTGCAATTCGCAAAAAGAAGATAAATAAAAGGAATGGCGGACTATGTAAGTTTGTTATCAGCTAAAGTAAGTTTAAGCAATCGGTTGCCCTCCCCCCACACTTCTAGACTTCCCTCACTACTGAGCAAGAAACTTGTCCTCAATTAGTTAATATTCCACATGCTATCATCTCCTCACTCTTCCATCACACCCATCAGGCCCTCCCCATGTTAACATCCCTAGATCCGCCATATACAATACTTGTGAAATTTAATGGTATGAGGATGTCAGAGGTTCCAAGTTGGAAGAAGTCATTTCCGGGAGATCTGTTAAAATGAGCTTCTCTTAGCACATCTAATTTTGTTTTGCTACTTTTTTATGGTGATACCGATCAACATTGACTTCTGTGAGACAAATGATACTAAAGGGGTAATGCAGTAGTAAAAACATTTTAATGAATTTGGGTTATTTTCCGGGAGATTCTTGTCCAGTTGTGAGAGTGCGAGAGACTGTTCCAATTTCCTGGAGACTTCGGATCTCTTGGATGTAGACATGTAAGTCATGAGTTTATGAACCGGAGACATCAAGTTTTCTATGCATGAGATAAAGGATAAAAGCATCTGACCACCCCCTCCCCCAAAAAAGAAACAATAATACAGTATGTATTTCATATTTGTAGCAAAAGACAGTGACTGTCTTAGCATTGCCAGCTCTGGACACAATGAGTTGATGGGTATCTATGGAGCTGGTGTGGCAGGTAGCAGGACCAGTCTTGGCAGCATGGGATTTGGTGCCACCAGTGCTACAGAAAGCACGCAGCAAGAATCAGACAGTGATGATCGAAGTAAGAGTCCAACAAATACTGCAGGTATGGAATTTTCCTGCCTCAAGTGAATTATATAGCTTTGGTCCTTGAGGCCCCTGTCATATGCCCAGTTTCTGACAGGCAGAAATGAATATTGGTACAGGACATTAATTGGCTATATAACTACTCGTAAACAAATTTTTTTTTTTTAACTAGTAGTAATATAGTACTATATATTTACCATATTTTGGCAAAGTTAATGAACTTAAAATGTGTAATTCCATGCAATCAATTTATTCCAAACTCATTTTTGTCGCAAAGTCAGACTAGGCTATTGACATGAATATCTGATAGTCCCTGTTCATGGTTATTGATATTTTTGCAGTTACTAAATCATTTTACTAATAATTCACTAACTATGATAATATATTATCTTAGTTACTGATTTCTATAACCATAATTATTGGAATACCTTTACCATAATTAGATAATATCCATTGACCCTGGTGATTAGTGACCTTTGTTTTTATATTGGTTTATATTCCCTCACCATAGTGATATTCACTATCCATAGTACCCTTATACAAAAATAGTTTTTATTTCCTCATAATGGTAAATAATATTTACTTAACATTGTATAATTGGTATCCCTTTTTACCTTGGGATTTGTCTTCCTCGCCATTGTTACCAGTATCTCTTCTCCATGGTAACTGATAATCATTTAGCATATTATTAGTATTTCTTGCTATGATATTCTAATATCATTTCTTCCTCATTACAAAAAAAAATTGACATTCCTTACTGTTCTGCTGTTTCCATGGTAAATTAAACAAAGGAACCAACCAATTATATGCAAAACATATATGCTTATTAATTGTTCTTGAACATGGTATTCTGCTATTATCTTCTTAACTGAATTTCAATATTTGATATATATATAATATGCAACTATGATGAAAAATAATATAGTTTTATACTTAATTAAGGCCAAATAAAATAAATTGTTTGTTTGCCCTGCTTTTTAAAAAAATGATAAATAGGGGCGGGTGGAAAAAGTTTTTTTTTTTTTTTTCACTCATCAGATGGAATAAAAATAACCCACAGAGGCCTCGAATGGCAATATCATACATCAGACAACAACTTTAGACTAATTTGTAGGGCATCTGGCAAAAAATAAAAATAAATTCATTCACATTTTTTCAGTGAGTTATAGGTGGGTGAAGGAGGGCAAACAAACAATGTCTATGTTGTTCAAACTGGGATAGATTATTATTATTAAGAAAATAACTGGGATAGATTATTATTATTATTGGGATAGATTATTTATTATTATGAAGAGCACTGTATTCATTACCATAACACTTGCAATATATGTCACTTGAAATCATTTTTCTGAATGCATTTTTCTTGATTCTGGTTGAAAAATTTTTAACCTTAATATTATGCACTCATATTTTTTTGTGACATATTTAATCTCGACGTTGAACACTTAATCATTGCCTGTTGCATATACACAGCCTGTTCTGCTATTAATTCTTTTCCTTAGATCTGAGTCGTACAAGCTCTTTGCGATCATTTCGATCTAGCACTAATTACTCTATCTCAGGTAAGGGGCAAGTAGCATGTTATAGGTGGCATGGCGCAGGTGGCATGATGAGGGCGGTTTGACGAAGGTGGCATGACCTCGGTGCATGTCATGTCAGTATTTTGCTTCTGTCATATCACCTGGTTTCATTTTCTACATTTGCCGGTATCATCCGTTTTGTTTTAATTTATTGTAACCAAAATATTTTGTTTTTTTTGTTGATATCATCATCTATATATTAAAACTCAGCATTGGTCCAAATCATTTTGTCACATGTGAAGGTTAATATTTTTATTTGCCATATCATTTTATTTGAATTGTATTAAAAAATTTTGCATGCAAAAATGTATACAGAATATATATACTCAAGAATCATTGTTCCCCTTTCATATTCCAGAGTCCAGCTTTAGCATGATGTTCTAGTGTTTTTTTTTGAGAAATATGTGTGTGTATACCAGATATATAGTGTTACATAAAAAATGTATTGCGCAGTGCGTTGTATTATAATTAGGAAAGTGTAATGGATGATTCAAATGGAATGCAATGCCAGAATTAAATATGATGTAGCTAAAGTTGTCGTCAACGCCAGATGGCGCCCTCTGTTGTCAACCAGACGTTGGTAAAGCAGTCATTACGCCTGAATGATGGTTTAGAATAGACTTTCTGGAATGGGCATTTTAAAACCTAATAATTTACTATGTACTAAAAAAAAAACATATTTAATCATCAATTAAAATTTTCAAAGAAAAATTAAGATCATGATTATGATGCCTTCAATTTTACTACCCTATAATCTCATATACCCTTTAATTCGTCGCTCACATCACGAACTAACACAATCAAAGTAGATTGTGTTTGTGAAATCACATTAGGGCGTCAAAACGAGTGTGTATTCAAGCACTTTTGTATTCTTTTCCATGCGTTACTAGGCAAATTCAGAGGTTGTAGATCGCATCCACTGGAATACTCTCGCTTTCATGTATACTTTATACAGTCAATAAAGTGCGCCCTCTCTAGTGAGATCAGTTTTTTTACTTCGCATCTCGCACAATGCGTTCGTTCGGTTAGGTTGAGATATGTTTGTTTAAAAGTCAAAATCTCAGTCAGAATCAGTTTTTTAACAAATTTGAAATAATTCCTATGAAATATTATATTCACAAGTGTCAATACTAGCAACTGAAAATATCATGTCGGCCGTTTTTATGTGTGATAACAGAACCTAAATCGAGGTAAGTCTAGGCCTAGCCTAGCAGCGTTGGATAGGCTAATGTTTTCGGCGCCTACGATATTTCTTCTCATGACCTATCGCAAAATCAAACATGAAAAATTCATCCGCATTTTTTTTTTTGTGTGGAACACAAAAAATCAAATTTCAGTCTTATTTTACATTTTTTTCATTCTTAGGAATGTCTAAATTCAGTTAAACTAGCAATTCCGTATTATATTTATAAATCTTTATAACATTATACAAAAATTAGATTTTTTTTAAAAATTGAAATTTTGCCGGGAATGGGGTTCTTTTTTAAATGAGCAAATCGTGTTAAATTTTTTTTTTTTTTTTTACAATATATTTTGGTGGAAGTAAAATTAAACATCATGAGGTGTTTGCATCTATGAATTTACTGTATTGTAGGTAACAGTGCTAACAAAGGAGTTAATGGTGTTTTTTCGTTATTAATTTATTGTAAATTATTTTAGCATAATTTTTCTATGTAAATATTTGTATCTTTATTGTTTTGTATGCATTATGTTGTCATTATCTCCACCACCCTGCTCAGTTATGGAATTTGTAATTGTTAACAAGATACCAATTATTAATTTTTTTTTACAGCAATAATTCAATTGAAGTCAGTTTAACAAAGACACTAATGATGTGCAATTAGTAACAGTCAGTTTCAATCAAAATTTAGTATTATTGGTCAGTTATATTGAAATGGTCTAACAAGGCTTTTTAGTAATGACCAGTTGTAATTATGGTCAATTAGAATTTTAATACTAAATGACTTTTCAGTAATTACTGTAGTAATACCAGATTTTAGGAGTATAGCCTGTGCTCCAGTTTAAACTCAACTCTCTTTGTTCAAGTTAAAATGAAACAGGTTAATTATTGATAAAACAGGCTATAACATTAAAGATAAGAATCCAGGCATGTTATCCCAGTAGAAAAAAAGTGAGTGAGTCTGCACAACCTAAACCTGCTATCACTATCTTCAGATGATAGACGCTAATATTTTCTAAGTATCTAAGCCATTAAACCTTCGCCTGGCAGTCTGGAGACCTCCTTGCGTGTATTTCCCGAAGTGTAACAATACACACGGTAACTTATCTGTGTGAAAGCATTTGGTGCAGTGGTTGAGGCTCGAAATCAAAACCTCCGGAAACTCCTGCTGTACAAGTAGCTTGAGTCCTTGGGCAAGATACTTTTGTGTTTGTCTCTATCCAAGAGTATCAATGGGTACTGGCATATGCTGGGAAGGTATTGACTCGCTTTGAGGAGGCATGGCAATTGCCTCAGAGCATTGCACAGACTGGTCCCAATGCTTAAGAGTGATGGACACTCCAGAACTGTACAGGTTCAACTACCTTCACCTCTTTACTTTTACCTTATTTATACATATAAAAAGAGACAGCAATACCAGCCATTAAACTGAAATGATCATCTGGCATAGACTGTCATTATTGCACCAGTGTCTGTTGAAATATTTTGTGTTTTAAAAAAAAAGCCAAACACAGCAATTTTCACAGTACAAATACCATTATCGAAAGGTCCACAGAAGATAGTATAATACATACTCCAATAATCAAAATGCACACCATCGTGTCGGGATTCAATATTTCAACATTAATTATGTCATCGGCAGGAATACAATCATGCAAGTAGTATTTTCATCCTCTAATTATAGTCTACAATACTCAAATGTACTTTTTTCCTGCGGCTGTCTATCATGAAATCTACTATCCGCAAATTTACATGTTTACCAGCATCCATCTAATGTTAGTTTTACCATCCTTGATTCAATTCAATTCAATTTAGTTTTTATTGTCAAACACTGTAAAATATACGGTTTAAAATTCCGGCTGTTTGTTCACAGATTAAAAATATATAAATATAATATACTTCAAGAAACAATCACCTTCAAAAAAAAGCACAACACGATACATCACATCATAAAATGTTAAAATATAAAGGTTAAAATTGGAAAAGTTAAAATTGCAAAAATTGGCTAAAAGAGGTCTTAAAATTGCAAGTAAAAAGGCATAAAAGCAGTATGTATAAAGTTAATTTTAAATTAATTTAAAATGTAAAGTTTAAAGTTTGGCATAGACCTAATTATCTTTTCTAAATATCATTAAATTGCCTCATAGATATAAGAGAAATGAATTTCTTGTCCTGTTTGTCTTCCACCTGGGAAAGATCACTTGACCAGTTTTGCTAAATAAAAGGTGATGATAAAGAGGGTGACTGCACTCTGACATAATTACTTTGAATTTCTTATTGTTGGCACTGTAAACAACATCATGCGTGTTGGAATAAGACTTCTTGATGTAGTCTACCATCTTCAATTGCACTTATATTCATGTTTGCCAACATTTATCCATGTTTGCCAACATTTATCCATGTTTGCCAACATTTATCCATGTTTGCCAACATTCATCCATATAGGCAGTGGTTCGAGCAGCAAGCTCACTTTTGTTTCTGATAGTGGAATAAAGGCTATAAACCTTCAGGAATTAGCTGTACAGGTTCAGTTTGATCATTGGTAGTAATCCTTTGCTACAGATTTAAGCCTTGCAAGTTTAGTTGGATCATTGTGTTTGTTCTTTGGTTTAATTCTTAGATCGTTGACATTGCTCTTTTTATGCCGATCTAAAACTTAAGCTTCTTTAGATCTTTTTTGCCTCTTCCCTCAGTTCATTTGCATCATTGGTATTGCTCTTTTCCAGTGATCTTTTAAGCCTTACAAATTCAGTAAGATCAAATATTGGATTGCCTTTTCTTGCAGATTTATGATTTATCAGTTTAGATAGAACAATGTTATTAACGGGTATTGATTTCTTGTGTAGATGGAAACCTTACAAGTTCATTTAAATCATTTGATATTGTTCTCATTTAATGAGAGGCATGCAGGTTTCATATGACGTCTTTCTTCTTCAGATCTAAGCCATACAAGTTCAGTTAGGTCGGCTGGAAGCACGTCAAATGTAGCACCACCACAAAAACAAGGATCTCAGGAGTCTCATGACGACATGGATAAGGCATTTACAGATTACTCAGCTTCTGGGTACTCGGGAGGTGGTGCCGAGCAAGGAGGCTTGGGGATAGCTGACAATGTTCCAATGGACCTTAGCCCTGATGACTGTAAGCTATAATAATTATTTGACAGTATCCTTGTTTGACAGTAACTTATTGTTGTTTTTCAATCATTCATCTTATACTTGGAATTAGGCAAGATTTTTTTTATAACATGTTTAGCAAACCTGCCGCCCACCAATAATGATGATTTCAAATTTTAAAAAGTATATATATTTGGCCATTTAACACACCAGCTGTTTACGAAAAAATTGAAATTTCAGAAAAATATAATTGGTTTTTTTTTTGTTTTTTTTTATGCCAGCTGCAGCCTTGAAATCTCCAAAAATAAGATATGTAAATTTCTTCCTAATTTATCAACTTTTAACCATCCCATTACTACACTGTTTGAATAAAAAATGTAATTTTTATTTTCTCCTAAGAAAACAAAATTTAATTTTTATTTTTTTTCCCGCCCTCCTCAAATAATCTTTAAAAAAATAGCTTTGCGAAACAAGGTATAAAAAAGTCTCGTTTTAATATCCATATAAAAAAAAACAAGTGTAAACTTAAAGTGCATCCACATTTTTGTCATCCTCATCATTGTTCTCATCATGATAATTAATATCATATCATATCACCATCATCATCATCACCCTTATTTTCAACACTATCATTGTCATCATTATTGCCTACATCCTCATCATTCTAATTATCATTCTTATCACAAATTATTACAACCGAATTATTTTTTTAAAATAATATTTACAATGATTAGTACAAAAGTGTATTCACTTTCTTCATTACATGATTATCTGTACCTTTCAGCACCACTAGGGATACTAGAGTTCTCTGTTTTATACGATGCTGTAAGTAATGTTCTTCACTGCACCATCATAAGAGCTAGGGGTTTGAGAGCAATGGATTCTAATGGCTACTCAGATCCATACGTCAAACTACATCTTCTGCCAGGGGCATCTAAGGTAAATGCAGCTCATTTTCCAAAAATTGTAGGCATTAAACCTCAAGTTCCAAAAACTGAAGGGCTATTTTCAACTGTTTATCACAATTTTTTTAAATATTCATCTGTGAGGTATATATTTTGATGTAGTAAATTGCCAAGTGCATTTATGCAACTGCACTGTATTAAGGTATTCCTATATATTTGAACACTGTGTTATTATCTGTTTGATTCATACATTATTTGTGCTCCCATTGCCAAGCAATAACTTGGTTCGAATATTATTTCCTACGATTTACCAGCTGCTACCTCTATAAGCTATTACGTAGATTAAAAATAATGTTCGCTCAATTATGTGTGAGCCCTCAGCTTGTATGGAGGGAGAGAGACCAGTGGCGGCTCTAGGATATAAATTATGGGGGAGCTAAGATGTCCGACTTGGGGCTAAGTATTTATGGGTGTAACTATAGCACGCAGCATTATCTGAGAGCCGAAGGACCAAGCCAGGGGTGGGTATGGGAGGGGGGATCACCCCTCCTCCCAAAACGAGATTTTTCTTTTTAATTGGGACTTCTAGATGGCCAGAAATGGCTGAGATGGGAAAACTAGGCCTATTGTTTTTTTTTTTTTGGTCCGACTGCCTGACGAGCTTTGGCCGATGGGGGGGCTTGACCAGACAGATGGGGGCCTTAAGCCGTGCCGCCACTGAGAGAGACTAGTGGTCTTAAATCCGTAATAATATCGTATGGGCCTTGGTGGGCTAAACCGGTAAAGTTATAAGTCTTTGGCTAAACGGTATGACACTTGCCAAGGTAGCAAGAGATTGCGTGGTCGATTCCCACCTGTGACCTCTTTTTTACACTAATAAGGAACTTTCGTTGATGAACTATGTTTGATACAATTTATTACATCATGTTCCTATATATTTGAGCACTGTATTATTGTCTATTTGATTTTAACATTATATGTGTTAATGTTGTTGTTTATCCATTTGTCTTGGGGACTGAGCTTAATTTAACAGCCATATTGACATGCATATGCGCAAATTTCATTGTATATTTTGTGTCAAATAAAAAATCAAGGTAAAAATTGTTTTCTCTGTATGTTGAATTTTGGAGCAGAACATTCAAATACATGCTGTAGATAACATCAGTTTTGTAGCGTTGAATGCATTGTAACTTTGAGAGTGTCTTACAATGTGACCCAATGGCAGCCACCTTGCTGCAATTTTTGAATCCATGTTTATTTTTGAAATATTTTTAATTTTTCAGTCCTCGAAGTTGAGAACTAAAACTATGAGTAAGACACTAAACCCAGAGTTTAATGAGACGTTGACATACTTTGGTGTGACTGATGAGGATCTCCAACGAAAGACGTTGAGGTAATGCATTAGATTTGCATATGTGGTAATTTTTCAAACATCATTATTATGAACATTGTCATCATTGTATGCAGAAAATAGGTGACGTTAGTTCACTGTTTTAATTATCTATTCAATGATACCTGTCCATTAGTATAATTAAGTCTACCGTGGTTGTATTGAATTATTTATGTCATTTTTTTCTTGGTTAACTGAATTGAACACAACTAGACACAACTATCCATTACTTAAACCTTAATAATGCACATGTGATTTATAATGTACAACACCATGTTTGTGTTGGATTTTTTCTATTATTTAGAGTAATGTTTGAGCTTATATCTTTTTCTGCTTAACTGGGCACATTTAATCATTTGATGGCAACTGCTAGCCCACTCTAATATAGGCAGTGTTATTCCACAAGTATACGCAGTTATATATATTTTAATTATGCTTTCAGACTAACTGTAATGGATGAAGACAGATTGGGACATAATGATTTCATTGGAGAACACAGACTTCCACTGAGGAAACTCACTCCCCATACCACCAAGACATGTAGTGTTTACCTTCAAAAGCCTTTACCTGTAAGTTAATTCACCTGGATCAGAGCAGCTTAGGTCAGTCAGCTAAACTAGTGGTAGCCACTGTGTGTTTGTGTTTAACCATGGAGATCCATTGTTAACCTTTGGTACACATTTTAATTCCATCTGCTGCTCCTGTTTTGTTTCAGCTGGAGGGGAATGCAAGTATTAGAAAAAAAAAATGCACCATCTTTCAGTAGAGGCATTTATGCTGTTGTCCTGTGTCAATACGGCCCATGTGCACGTTAAAGAACAAACAGTCAAACTTGATTGGTTAAAAGCTAGGCATTAGTTCCAGCCATGCCCTCCTAGTGGGTCAATCTATGTAGTGGTATATAAAACAAATGTTTACTGGGATTTTAATCAGGTCATATTTCTATTTAAAATCCTTGGTGATCTGGATGCTGTACTCTGTCCCTCAGCTTCGTCTCAGGACACAGCCTCCAGATCACCAGAGTCTATAATTTGAACTATGCCCCTCAAACCAGTAAATATTTGTATACTAGTGTACTGCCAAATCAATGCTGGAAAGAAGACTTCAGACTTTTGTGGGTTATGTGTTCACACCTAATAAATCCAAACAAATCCAATCCAATCCTTTTTTTTTTGCCATATTGATCAGTAATTTTTTTATTTTAAAAAATGAAAAAGGTGATTCTGGTATTGGCATTTGGTAATATGCAAAGTTTGCACCGTTTCAATGTGGTGATTTATTTATTTATTATTTCGTTTTCTACCAGCTGGATAAAGATGAAGAATTAGGTGACAGCGAAGGAAAAGTTCTCATCTCCTTGAAGTATGTATCTTCCAAGCAGCAACTTTTGGTTGGCATTGTACGCTGCGCTGGTTTAGCAGCTATGGACTCAAATGGATATTCAGACCCTTACGTTAAAGTGTAAGATACTTTACATAATGTCAATTATATCTATGTGGTGTATTGCAACCATTCATATATATCAATTATATATTCATAGATAATGTGGTTATTTATAGCTTGTGTTCAATTTTTATGTAGCAATAGTGTGTACAATATAAGGATTTTATTTTCACATTTGCTACACACTAAACCATAAGCTCAAGACAGTTTATCATTATGTAACTTTATTTTTTTCCTACCAGGTGTTTGAAACCGGAACAGGGTAAAAAGTATAGGTTCAAGACCAGCGTTAAAAAACGAACTCTCAACCCAGAGTTTCATGAAGTAAGCATTCTTAAATTACTCTGTCTTCCTATGTAGATGTGACCTCTTTAATTTGTTTTGTTCTGGTTCTAGTGGGTAAAAACCGACCTCATAAGGTCCAAAAGTAGGAGTATATCAGGAAGGGTAGGAATAAGGTCAAATAATACAATATGAAAGGTCCACCACTGCATTTTAAGATGTGTTTACAGTATTTTTCTGTGTTTTGTCTTGATGCTTTTGATTTTTTTTTTGCGTAGATTTCACAGCATCTTTGTCTGTGGTGCCCTCTTCAAACACCCAAAATCAATCTAATAATTTCCCTGTACAAACACTGCTTTAAGAAAGTAAATTGAGGATAAATTGGATTAAAGTATTCTTTACCAGGCTTCTACCATTATTGCTATATTATGTATTTCTTTGTAGGAATTTTCCTATGATGTGAATTACAGTGAATTGTCTAAGAAGACTTTGGAGGTAACAGTCTGGGATCATGATTTCGGCAAATCTAATGACTACCTAGGTAATCTATTTTTTTTTTTTTATATTATTGTTATAAATTTAGTATTTTTATTTATTTCTTCTTTACCCTGGATGAGCTGATCAGTGTAAAAACATTGTTACCCTCTGGAGCCCAGCAACACATAAAATAAAATACAATCAAATGGCAAAGATGGTAAAAATAATTCAAAGAAGAACAATCAAAATAATTAAATGTAAATATATTTTTAATTAATTTTTTTTTTCTAGGAGGTGTACAGCTTGGGATACATGCAAAGGGTCCACGTTTGAAGCATTGGTTTGAAACATTGAAGTACTCCGACAAACGCTTTGAGCGCTGGCATGTACTAACTAGAGAGGAGTTTGGAGAGATTGAGCCATAAATTTGTTGGTGATTACCATCAGCAATCCTACAGCAATACATATTGAAACAAAATATGATTGAGTGCAAAAATGAATATTGGTAGTTAATTATTGATTAATGTAGATTTAGCATATAAATGTCATAAAAGTTTGTCACTATCTTCTGTTGGAAGTTTTACATTTAAACGAAAAGTTATTTGTTAAGTGTTGGTGGAAATTGTTTGGAAATTTGTTTTTATTCTTTAGAACGATTAGTTAAAATTTGCAGCAATCTTTCAAAGTATCAAATATTTACTTTATTTTGACTAAGTAGTCTTTTTATTTTGTAAGCATTGATATATCAATTTTCTGTTACAAACTGTAAGTTTTGTTACCAACTTCGATTGCCACCAATCTTTGCCTATTATCATTGTGACCAGCTATCATTTTGGCCAACCTCTAACCATTACTGTTGGCAAAATATAATTGTCAGTGGCATATCAAGAATTGTAAAAAGGGGGTGCTGAATACAAATATTATATCCTCTGAAGGCACAAAACTAGGTTTAGAGTATATCTATGACTACATCATAAATTGGTTGCTAACATCTAAAGTAAGTTAAGTAACTTACTTTGCCATTTATTTTCATTAATTTACTATTATTTTTTTCCACATTTGAACAAAAAGGGGGTGCTCGGACATCCTAAATACCCCCTGGTTACATCACTGATTGTGATCATAAACATTTCAGACACAAACCATTGTCAACAATCATTAATGGGTGCCAAATATTTTTGTCACCAGCTACTCTTGTAGTTGTAGTAATGATGAAAATTAATTTTGGTTCACTGCCATAATTATACACGACCATTACAATATATAACTGTAGTTAATCCACCAGGAGTATATACAGTAATTAGCATTCCTATAATAGATAGGCCAGTTCGACCAATCTAATCAAGACCAGATAGAATAACCAGGCTTTTTTTATAGCGAAAAAGTCCAGTATGAATAGTGTGTCTTATTTAAACCTGTTTTCCTCTAGGCGAATTTATTCACACGAATCGTAGGCATCAGGACGGTTCCTAAGCTCTGGTTGGTTGCGCACTTTTTCCGCTTCGAAAAAGTAGAAACTGTTCAAACTACCGATTTCGCTACAGCGATAACTTCGATAGAAATGTGAATGTGCATGAGCATGTACAGACACTTTCAACTCGCGCAAATGTCATCGTGCATATGATAGTCTTAACTAAAGCCCTGTCCAAATTTCATTTTTTATGACTAAATATGGTCATGATGACATCACATCGTGACCATATATAGGCACATCATGACTTTATATGGCCATACAACAGTTTTTTGTCAAATAAAATTTGATAGTCAGGTTTACCAACCTACATGTTGCTAATCTCTAATATCAATTGGCTTAAAAAACTTAAAATGTATCAGTTAGATATTTTTCTTAGCAACTGATTAAAAACATTGATAGCCAAATCCTATTAAATGTAGGATTAAAATGCAGCCATATTTTATTGGCTAATATTCCTAAACAAGTATGGTATGTAGTTAATGTTGATATATAAAAAGCATTACAGTTTTTTATTTACTAAAATATAAGGAATGTTTAATAATGAGTTGGGTAGTATTATTGTATAAGCCAATGTAATTCATTAGATACTAACACTATATGTTTGCAAAGAGCTAGCAATGTGCAGTTAATGAAGAAATATTTAATACCAACGTAAATATTATAATATACAAACAATATAAAATCATTATATTATTATCTTTGTTATTATATTTATAATAATAGTAATGTTAATAATTATGATTATTATAGATGTTTACTCAATGCAGCTCAGTTTCAAGGCCATTTTTAACTTGACAAAATGAATGAATTTATTGACAGTTGGCAATTACAACTTATAAATAATTATACTGTAATATATAATATAATCAACCCTGTAACTTGGTTGTTATTTAAATCTGCTGAATGAAAAGATATAAAACTACAATATGAGATAGTGACAAATTATCCTCTAAAATTAATGAATAGTTTATATTTTAGAACTTAGAAAAAAGAAAAATTATATTTGTATGTAAACCTATTTATAAATACAGTACAGGTACTTGCAATATTGACTGTGTGCTAAAGTGCTGTAACATATGAGTGTTCTGACTTTGCTATAAGCATACCACAAAACGGTATCAAAGAGAGTGTGGGCTTCTGTCATAGGGCATGCATCCGATTTAATTTTGACATAATCTCAGATACTGTAAAAGATGTATCTGACCTAAAAGCTTAAGGTCTGAAGTATATTTGGTCTGGTGTATTGCTAAAAATCAGGGGGTGTGCTTAAGGAAACAACATAGAACTGGTTTATTTAATAGTACATAACTGCCTGAAGCATTGCATAGAATATGGGAGAGGCTTAAACTTAAGTCAGCACACTTTATAAACAACCACTGCTGTAGTTAATTTTGTTACAAAGCTTTGTTAATATTATTATTTAATAAATAATATTATTATTGTTAATATTAATAATGTTAGTTTTATTGCTGCTTTTATGTTATTACTATACTTTAACAACATTCACTAAGCATTAATATGATCATATTTAATATCAGTTTTGTGTGCTTATAATTCAAAAACTATTTATTTGTGTTACCATATTGCAATATTTATAGACAATCATTTGAAATGCATATAATTTTAAACAATAATATAATAAATAAATATATTAGTATTGATTAGTAAAGATCCAAGGAATATTTGAACCCTGTTGTGTGAAATGATAGTATTGTGAAATAGGCAATACTTTTGTTGTATCACAAGTAGAATGATAATGAAAACTGGAGTGCAATATGATTGTAAAGTGATGTTTTCAAACCCATTGTCCCAACTTGCTGACATCATAAAGTAAAACTTATCAAGCATATCTAATGAGATATTTTACATCATGCCCAATCACAGCTTTGAGGATTCAGGATATTTATATTTTAACCATCAATATTCATCATGTCGGCATGCACTATTTCACAGCCAACCATAGCATTGATGTCTCAGGATATATATATTTTACACAGGCATCATGTTTAGATATGAAGCTATACCCTCTATTCCACCTCCCCTCTTCCACTCCTCCTTCCATTCCCCTACCAGGATTGTAACTTAGGAAAATATAATTCAATATATGAATTAATTATTGCTAGGTTTCAATTGAAATTTTAAATGAAAAATTTTATTTGCTGGTATTTTTAGTAAAAGGTCTGTAATTCAGAGAAAAATGTCAATCTGTGTATTATTGGAAGTTGAAACTAATGGTGTTAAATTGTTTCTAGGAACAATTCTTTAAAAAATGGTTTTCTATGGGGAGTATTTATTGTGCTGAAGAACCATTTTTTGGCATGGAATCAACTGTCTGGAGCAGGCCAAAACCTAATTTCTTGTGGCAGCAGAAATATAGCATTACTGCAATTGATCATTTTAATTATCAATTCAATGCTCTGAATTTCTTTATGGTTTTTTTGTTTTTTTTTAGATTTTACTAAAGACAGTATATGTTTAAAGACGACCATTGATAATTATTATACAATAAAATCTTTTTTTTTTTTCATCATTTTCAATTAATTTTAATCTTTACTATTACAATTTACAATTGTACAACACAGAAATCATTTTATTTCTCAAATTCAGCCTTTGTAATTTTATATATTAATTATTGAGTATATGCTCAGTAATTTGCATTGTATTGTTAATAGTTTATAGACATGAATTAGAATTATCAAATTGTATAAAATTAGTGTTATATATCATTTACCTGTATGTCTACACTTGGCGAGATAATTTGATAAAGCTTCCAATAATGTTCATGCAATATGTTCATTATATTTATCTACTTTACATAAGGCACAAATGATTCAGCATGGATTTTATCCTAATATCATTATTAAAATCATTATATACACCTAATAAGTAAAGAAAAATGTATCGACACTAATGCTTATTACTGCAAATTTGAATAGAAATCAGTTTCATTTGATGTACAAGTTAAATGAAACCAGCTGCTTAATCTTTTATAATGAGATAATATTAAGTTAATTATTAAACAGGTGCTTAATTAATCTGCTAATGTTATAATAATTAATCAGCTTCATAATTCATGTTCAAATAGTTATTCATCAGGTAATTTATTAATACCAATGTTGTTTAATTACATATTATGCTGACGATATCAATCAAAATCAAAATACAAATTAATATGGATATGTAAGGCATTATCATAACTTCATCAAAATTGGTAAGCATATTAAAAAATTCAAACGTTTGACCAAAACTGATTACCTTTCACCGTCTTATAAGAATTTGTTAAAAATGTAAAGTGACCAAGACACCTTATTCTGTTCCTTGTGACCATTATATAATGCAAACACAATGTATACTGAGAAAAATATAAAACGGGTTTGTTCAAGCTAGTCTGTTCAACTATAGCATTGTAAAGAAAAAAGTATATCGGTTCACTGTATGAAAAAGAAATTAAAGTAGATATGTAAAATTATGATATATATAAGTGTGTTTTTCTTTATTGCTGATCGCATTTAATATTACTTTTAAAGCATGTTTAATGAGAGCGATGATCATGTTTGAGCCTTTAGTTCTATAAATCTGAAGGCTGTTGATGATAGGCTTGGTTAATTCCGGATTCACAGACAATACATACCATATTTATTTCGAATAAACGCCCCCGCTTTGAATAAACGCACCTCTAGAGCCTCATTTGGAATAAACACCTCAATCAAATAAATGCCCCGAGACATAAATGACTAAAATCCAATCGGAGGAACATCATTCTCAACACACTCTATTAATGTTCTACTATAGTAGAATTACATTTTTTCTAACCTGTTAGAGATTATGCAATAACACATTTGACAATAATTATGTGGCGTAGTTCCACATTTACAGTGAAATTAAGGGGCATTTATTTGAGTATACATATCCATTTTACACCAAAAAGAAAATGCTTCCCTCAAATAAATTACCCCTAAAAAAACCCTTCTGAACAATGAACACCCTGAGGCATTAATTCAAATAAATAAGGTATTTGAGATTATGTGTATGTGTTTGGTTGGTTAATCAAAGCAAACCACAGATCACACAACTTTGCCACCCTTAATTTATACAAAAATCAATACAAAATCAGGGTTGTACCAATACCTTGGATTTGAAGGTGGGCAACTTAACCACCATACCATAGTTACAAATTATAATTTAATCTTACTGATTTTTCGCCTAAAATTAATTCCCCAAAATATAACAATAAATCAAAACAGACTAGGAAGGACCAAACAGGTGAAAATCACCTAGTCGGTCAACTCTAATGAAAATTTAAAGTATTCCAGGACCATAGGAACTAGTGACTAGTAAAGAAACCTGGCGAATACGCTCTGTTAGAAGGATATGATTGGCTGCTTGCCTGCCAGTGGACACAGAACGTTCCATTAATGCTGAGGGATATGATGTATGGAGCCAATCACCAGCAAAACTCAAATTTGGAATACCACATTCTACTGGATATGTGACATTGGGTCTGTACACTTCTGTTTTGATTTTAAAAGATGGGAAATTATCTTCAAATGAATTAACATGGTAGGCTAGCATCGTGAAATTCTCATCACATATTTCTGGATAAATTTGATTAACTGTAGGCTTAATAATATCCCAGACGGCGGCATCCGGAATATCTTTTTGCTGCCATGTGTAAAGATGGAATTCCAGCACAGATCCACCAGTTTTATTTGCCCACATCGCAGGCTGTTCCTCCAACATGTGATACTGAGCGATCAGGTTAACCGGCGTGTAATCTGGTGTCTCAAGAATGTCAGGGCGATTGTGAAGTTGTTTGTCAAACCAGGCCCGGAAAACCTTGTACCGCGGTGCTGTTGGCAACTTCCCCACCTTAGTTTGTAAACATTGAAGCTTCCTTCCAATACTGGAGTCTAGCGGATAGTTCAGTTGGGTCTTATTCAGGATTTTTTGAGTACCGATTAAGTCTGTCGCTAGAATCACATGATCAAACTGCTCTTTGGTTTCAGTAGAAACTACTTTTCCAGTTGTTGAATTGAAATATAGGGATTTCACCGTAGAATTTGTCTGAATTCTGGGAAAAATATAAACATCAATAAGTGGTTTCCTTCAATGAGGAATGATTAAGGAAGAATACAAATAAAAAAGTTGGTCGATGTTGATTAAACAATCATGATATAGACAGAAAGAAAAACATTACAATAACATTAGAAAATCAATAAATAAAATGATGAATGAAAATGCTTAATTTACCCTTAAAATAATTATCAGTAAGACAAAATGCAATTCAATAAATACAAAAAGCGATTGTAACTTAAAAATAAATTTAAGCTGAAATGTACACTGAATTTCTACCTGACTCCAAGGTGTTCTAGTGTTTTTGTCCATGGACCTATTATCGCATCTTGATAGTTTTTGGTTGTGGTTTCTCTTCCATCAGCCTGAAATGTACAAAACAAATGTGGTAGTGCTGTATATAGTGTGATGTCTTCAGGCCCCTTCAAATAGGATTCTTTAAGTGGGATTTCCTACACATATGACAGCGCTTATGTTGCCTGCAACATGGGCATAAGCTGGATGCAGAGGTGCGGACGCACCCCCCATTGCAGCAAATTAGTTCAACTAAAGTTGATTAAAATACTAAAAATGACCATAAAGTTTTCATTGGAATGGATTTTAGTTCTGAATTCTGAGATTTACTTGTTACTTGTTATTTGTATAGCGCCTTTCTTTTCAGTTACGAAGCACTGAAGTTCTTTTTCCCTGGTCATTGGATCCATATGCTAAGTGTTGCTGCTGGTAATCAGCGCAGGGGGCATGTAATCCCACCAGGTACCCAATTATACTCTTGGGTGGAGAGAAGCAATGCAGATAAAGTGTCTTGCCCAAGGACACAAGCAAAATGCACAGCGAGGGATTGAAACCCCGACCTCGAGGTTGGGACACCAAACCGTTCCAGCTGCGCCAAACTGCTTCTACTTCTATTTAGTTCCACATTCTCATTTTTATATTGCAAAATATAGCATTATTGCAAAAAAGATAATTATCTGTCAAAGTTAACATTTGAAACCAAGAAAAAGTTTAGTATGGAACGCCATTGGCGCAAAGAAGTAATATGGAACACCATTTCACAGATTAAGACAAAATTTAGGGACTGGAATTCAGTTTAGTACAGCATCTCTGCTATCAATCGCTCCCCTGAGTAGTTCTCAAAATATCAAGCTAACCTTCTAGTACTACAATTATTTCTTGCCTATCCTATCAGTTTACATAAGGTTTTTTCAAAAGAAATCTCACCTCCGGTTCACTCAGAAAGTAAAGTTGCATGTATGTTAACATTTCAGCCGCACTGATTGTATGCCTCTCGTTAAGCGTCACGGACAATGCTGGACGCATGATGATGTTATAGAAAGCTTCATCAACGTGCTTCTCCTTTGCCCAGTTATCTTGAAAGAAAGGCAAATGTTACAGTATACAGAACATACTATGCTTGCATGGTGGGGTAACAATCATCTAATTTGTAGAGGTGTAACAACATTTAAAGCTATTTTTAATTGTAATCAATTATAGGATTTCAAACTTTTAAGAATATTAAGCAATCATAGTCAGGTTTTGAGTACACTTATAAGAAATAGAAGCCGAAGTAGCCATTATTTCCTGAAAAAATTGCCTAAAGCCTGCAGGGCTGAAGGCAATATTCCATCGCAATTTGCTGTATTAAAATCACCCCCAGCTTTGAGCTTTTTTGCACACGAGACGCAAAAATTTGGAGGCACTATATTGATCAGTGATCAGTGGGGAATAGGAATATCAGTGCAAATAAAAGTGATGACATCACCACAGACTTTATAATCTCAATTATTATTTGATGTTTCTGCATGTCATTAAGTCTATTATAACTTAGGCTGCACACACCTCTCTGCCTTTGTGTTAAATTTGGCGAGACATGCAGACCTAAAGGAATATCTCCAAAAATTTTACACCATGGCAATAGATGCATCGACTGGAAATTTGCTGTGAACAAAAATCATGCTCAAGTATTTAAAAAAGACACCTCATGATCCCTCATATTCAATTCCCATCACTGTCTTTGTGTCCTTCGGATGAGACATTTAAGCTATTGGTCCTGTGTGCATTCCCATGTACACGTTAAAGAACGCAGTACACTATTCGGGAAAGAGTAGGTAATTGTCTCTCAGTGTACTGCCAAAAAATCACCACCAGAAGCACCCGACTGGAAATAAGTCTTCTCCAGACATTTGTGGGTTATCCGAAAAAATCTATCGATCCTATTGTTACAAACAAATCTGACTATCTTAACTCATGAACAATAACATTATCTAATTCAACACTGTACAGTCATGATCTATTTAAATGATTATCAAGAGCATTAACATTTATAAATAAGTAATAAAAAGATTACTTACCGAGTGATATATTTGCATATTTCTCAAAAACTGTATCATAATTATAGTAAAACAAGTCGGGCAGTGATAAGACGGACTTAATTGCATTAGTTAATTCAAGGTTTGGACTGCGATTAATAATACCTGCAGAAGAAAATACATTTTTTTACATGTATATGTAAATACATACTAAACTGATAAAAAAGAAATAATACCATCATATTAATGATGATGATGATAATTATTATTGACAATAAATAATAATAATAAATATCAAGAATTTTCTATTTACACAGCATATTTACAATTTCTCCATATACAGCAGGGGTGGGCATAAATATCAGAGGGCCAACGTGAATTTTTTTATTTAACAGAGAGGGCTGTACCCAAAATTTGATGTTTCCATTTAGTGTATTTCAAAAACCTTGAAGCACTGCTCTTACACCACTTTATTCTCTGTTTTAATATTACTTTTTACACACTTCTCCACAACCCTTCTTTCAAAATCTATGTCAAATTTGGTAGTATCTACAGTACTCACCTATAAGGTTAAGTGGAAAAGGACCCTCGCTATATATATGCTCTGGTAAATAATTCTTGAAAACATAGTCAACGGCTTTCCACGGTTTAAAATTACCATTAATCTCAAGTCTTTGGCGAATATCTTTAAACTGGTGATAGTTGTAAAACCAAGCTAAATTAAAAAGAATATATACATTTAATTTTTTTTTAATATATGAAAAGGAAACTTTAATGTGTGCATTATTAGTATCATTTTATAATTACTGAAAAATATAAATTATGCATTAAAAACCTAACAATAATTATAATTATTTACCATGGAAGGCATGTTCAATTGGCCATGATTGGTTAAGCCGCTCAACATTTATAGTATGAAGACGGCCGCCAAGAACCATGTCCTTCTCACGAATCTTCACTTGAAAACCTCTCTCTGAAAGTTCCAAAGCTGCCGAAAGACTTGCAAGGCCTCCGCCTACAAAACCAAGAATAATTTAGGCATGGTTAGAAAAATAACAAAACTAGCTCTAGTTCAGCCCAGGGTAATACTACCCTAGGCTTGAAAATGTTCCACCGGGTTAAGAGGCCCCTGTCCCCTACAACATTTTTGACAATTTTTTACGTTTTTTTTTTACGCATTCTGCTAGGCCCATATTCAGGAGGATGCAATGGGTGTATGCACATCCCTCAACCCCCAATTTAGAAAAAGCCCACATTTTTAAGAATGTCAAGAATGTACTGAATATAAAATTTGTTATTTTCTGTAATATAGCTTAAACAAATCTTAAATCATTACATTTTAATCAGCAATCTATGCTTGAATTTGGCCATTGAAGTTGCCATAGTAATGAAAAATTGAAGATGGAATTACAGTAATGCAAATGTATCAAACCAGCAAACTGTATAAGAGTCTGTTACCTACGATGAGAACAGATCTGTTGACACCTGCAGGAAGTCTTGCTGCATCGTCAGGATTCACGGGCGGAATCTTGACAGGTGCCTTTGGAAATGCTTGACATCCAACCAAAAAACATCCTGAAATATTTGCATACGGTTAAATATTTTAATCAAATATGTTTTTCGTTCTTTTTTCATTACCGTAAATGCTCGAATAAACGCCGCACTCAATTAAAGCGCCGCCCCAAACATGACTTTTTGCTAAGCGTCATTCTAGAATAAGCACCGAGAGATTACCCCAGTGTGTAATGAATCACTTTGAGAAACAGGGTTTTAAATACAATGTATACATTTTTAAAATGATTAAATTAAAATAACACAACATACAATTTACAATGACGTAAGGACCTATGATAGGCCTACCGAAATACAGGAATACGTGAGATAGGTAGCGCTGTGGTGCTTATTCAAGCATTTATGATATATCTAAAAAACATGTATTTGTAGGGCATGTTTCCTGGCCCTTGCCTGTGTTTATAATTTTAAAGAAAGATTTAACAGTTACGCAGTTTTAATGTTAACAATCTACTATACCAAAATTACCCTCCACTGCATAAAAACCGTAGATGCCCCTTCTTACCAATACTGGTTAAAGAAAATAGGCGTATACTAGCCTGGAAACATTGTGAGATGTATTTTAAATTTCAAATATTTTGTAAAAAGACATTCTATGGCCTATCTGGACGGAGTGCAACACGGTAATGTCTAGAAGATACTTACGTAATCTGGGGAATCCCCTTTCTTGTGGACGACGATATCCCTGTAGTATTCCCGTTAAGACTTACCGTATTAAAGACCATTCGGAGTTATGTTATTAAATTATGCTTTCATAATTCTGTGTAGGTTCATAAGATGATATATAATATATTAATAACATTAGTTAGGCCTAGGCCTGCTACGCTGTTTCTGTATTCGCCATGCTGGCGAAGGTTGGTTGCATAGGGCTAGGCCCAAAACAATACCGTGTAGCAGCCTAGGCCTAAACTAGGTAATATTAACCTAGGCCTATAGGTTAACAAGTTGTGAATCCTGGCTTACCATAGAAAATATACAAATAAAATAAACTTGTCGCTCCCATCTTGCTATGTGTATGAAGGAGTAAGCACAGTACTGCAAATCACAATTAATAATTCATCATTTCTTCATCACCCCATGCATTGAACATTGAACATTGATCAGCCACATTTACCCAGCCAATAGAAATTCAGAATTCGAGAACTTACGGTCACCAACGGGTACCGTGTAGGGCCTACGTGCCACCATGGAGGTATAAAAATAAATAAATATTTTATACCTCCATGGTACCACCGATGAAGGTTAAATCAGTTGCATAACGGCTATGAGCACTCACTGGGCCAGTACATTTATATTCTTTTTTCAGGCGCGTAGGCCTACGCAGGAAAGGGGGAAGGAAGGGGTTACGATGGGTGCGTACGCACTCCCACACCCCCAAATTACCAAAGGTCCACATTTTCAAGGGGTAGAAAATTTAAAACTCACTCTTGTAGGCCTATAGTTGTCTCAGATCCACCCTAACCTTCTGGATTATTCAGAGCAATTTTAAACTATAGGACCGCCTAATTCATCGTAAAGCAACGAACTGTATACTGTATACGCTTTTGTGATAAATTTGAGTGTTTTCCCCGCCGCTTGCGTGTCAATGATTCACCAGTGGCAGGTCCATGAATTCGAAAAGGAGGGAGGGGGTGGGGTGGGGGGGGGGGTGGAGGCAGGGAGGAAGTTTTACAAATGCAGGGCCCACCAACCTCAGCCTCCCAATGGTTGGTGGCTGAGGTAAGAAACATTATGTTTATGCTTATGGCACTTCTAGGGACATGGCATTCTCAGACTTTTTTTTTTGCACTTAAATCCGCCACTGTTCACGGTCCGCGTATAAACTCATTTTCTTTCTAAGGTTCACTGAAATCATCTTTATTCTCGCCATGTTGATATGAGGCGAGGATTTACACCTTCGCATCGCCAAGGCCCGGAATGTTAGACTGGGTAAAGCAAGAAATAATATACACAAAGAAACGTCAAAAACAATACAGAAAAATTTGAGGTTGTCTAGACAAATATATCAGATAATATTGTGCGATTGTCAATGAAGCTCTGGATCCTTTAAAAAAAATTGGAAAAAAGAAAATGATCTCTTCAAATTGTATGAGAGTTAAATATCCGGCCATTCGGAGGAGGTTCCAGTGCCTCCCCCATCCAATAAAAATTCTGCGTACGGGCCGGTTTTTTGACAAACAAATAACCAAGGCCCTTTTCCAAGCCAAAGTCTGCCGAGTGATTGGGGCATTTTGATTTTAATTGACTCTTCTTGTTTATTAGTGATATCTTAGTTAGAATTAAGTATGCTTTTTTGGAGTCACTGCACGATACATTAGAATTCGAATGTCTAAATAAGGCATAAAAAACACCGGAGCGGCGAAGTTGGCTTCGCTCCCAGACCCCATCAGGGCCCTTCGCCCACGGCCCCAGCCTCTGGGCCCCCAAGGCACCTCCCCAGGGGCCTCCGGCCGCTTCGTTACGCCACTGAGTTAAATATAGTAGGCCTATGCCTATAATTTTATTTGTTCTGTATGGTTGAAAATCGGCTAACCTAGATCTGTGATAATTGTGCCTACTGGTTTTCATTGACATCTTATTTACAAGAACATAATAGATAGCTTGGGCTTCAAAAAAATGTGCTGGTAAACCGGGGCTTCAAAGTGCTGGTAGTAAACGGAGTGGTAATGGTTGTTTAATTTCCAGGATATTTTAATGGCTTTATGTTTTCAGTTGTTCATTACTGCAGTTGTTTTCTTTTTCCGCTGTATGTTTTCTCCAACGCCTTCAGCATGTCTATAAAATTTATATGAGCTATCTATTATTTTATTACTACAATATTTAAAATACAAATTACGAAAATAATATTTACATCAATACCTTAAATTAGTTGATATGCTGTTATTATTATTATTATTATTATTATTATTATTATTATTATTATTATTATTATTATTATTATTATTATTATTATTATCATCATTATTATTTTTACTTATTATTATTAATAATATTATTATTAATATTATTATTTTTATTATTATCATTATTTATTATCATTATTATTATCAT